TGAAAGTTGTGTGCTGCTGTGAAAGTTGTGATGCTTGGGTACCCTCACGCTGCCTTCTGCAGCATGGGCAGGGAGACAGCAGGAGCTGCGGAAGTCTCGGCCCGGCAAAAGCCTCCCTGCAGAGCAGGGGATGGTTGGGTGGATGGGGCGGCTGCGGGTGGGAGCTGCCAGCGGGCTTCGGCCGGCTGCCTGCGCTGGCCACGGCTCAAACCTACCCGCGTTTGCGGCGGAATAAGGCCTGGGTGGGCAAAGTAGGGTGGTTTGGTTGCTGTCAGCAACGGTGTCGGTGCAAACCACCCTGCCGTGCACGTGGGCAGAGCTTCGCTGACGGAGCTTGGGAAGGGGACGCCTCCGAAGGCCAGGTCCCCTCCGACGCGGCATGCAGAGCCCATCGGTGAGGGCAGGCTGAGGTAGGGACGGGGACCAGGGTGCAGGCGCCTGCAAGGGCTTCACTGGGACCAGCACAACCAGCCCTCGGCAGTCCCGGGTACTGGCGGAAAGAGGTCTGGTCCAGGAGGGTCCATGGGCTCTCTCCCTTCCCCTCCCCATGCAGGCACAAGAGCAAGAGAGATCCCAAGTGCTAGAGCTAAGGAGAAATCATGCCTCTTTCTTTCCTTTTTATCTTTTTCAGCTTTTTCTGGTCTGGTCTTTTCTTATATTTTTGTTGCTCGCTCATCACTACACTCTCTGACCTTTGTTTTCTGATTAAAGAACAAACATGTTCTCTGGGGCGTCTTTTGGCATCAAAATAAACGTGTGACACGTCCAGACACCCATTCCTACTGCTTTAGTGTATAAAAACATACCCAAGGTATAAAGCTCGACATATAAAGCATAATCCATGTACTTCATTTAGTAAATGGTGGTGGATAAGGATGTACACGCAGCACATCTACAGATGGGTATCTGCAGAGATAAGGGCAAGCCTTGCTGTTCGCATACGGAGCCGCGGCTGATGAGGTGCGTAGTGGTCCTGTGTCCCCGCAAGAGTGGATTTAACTCCTGACGGGAGACCTCGGGGAGCTCTGTCTCCTGCGCAGAGATTGAATTAGCTGGGCAACGGGGCTGGCCGCTGCAGCCGCAGGAAAGGGCCGAGGTATGGAGACTGGGAGGCTGCCGCCGGAGATAAGCGGTGCCCTCGCTTCCCAGCCGGGATGAGGACTGGGTGGGACCGGATCACTGTATGTCCCCAGGGAATGGGTCTCCCTAGCTTGGGAAGAGAAGGGAAACCAGCAGTTCCGCTGCTCGCTCCCTCCTGCTGCGTGCGAGCACGTCCAGCCGAGCCCCTCGGACCGTCACCAGCACGGCTCATTGGGGCTGGCTCTCTCCCAAAGGGACAAGGTGATTCGGCAGTTTGCACTCATTCCTGCAGCTTTGCATCTGCAAATATTTGGAGGAAAATATCCACAAATGCCTCAGATGTCATCTTTTTTTTTTTTTCTTTTTTTGGATTTTTTTTTTTTTTTTTTTTGGATATTCATGAAAAAAAGAAAAATTAAGAAGAACTTGGGGATGCTCGGGTGCCTTTAGGACCAGCCCTGAGGTCCTGGCCCATGGCTTTGCCTCCGTAGGACCGGAATTGCCCGCGGAGGCTCGCAGAAGCTACCAGACCCAGCGAGGAGCTGCCTGCTCGCCGGCCCACGTGCGTGCCACGTGCTGCCGGCCCGGCGGCTGCCGAAATCCCCCCGCCGCACACCTGGGGTGGGGGGGGCCGCCGCGTCTGCCCCGCTCCCAAAGAGGCGCTGCTAGCGGCAGATGGAAATAGCAGCAGCTCTGTTGATTTACAACCACAGCCCTGACTTTAATGGGCTGTTTTTGCTCCCCGACAGCTACGGATTTGGTCTTTATTTTAACAAGCCTCTCTTTTTCCCTGTGTGCGACCCATCGGCTCCTCGAACCAAGGGCACGCGGGGAGGCGAGGGTTCGCCCTGCGTGCTGGGGGTACACACGAGCTGCTCTCATCTCCCCTTTGAAAAAAACCAACCCCAATCCTATAAGCATAAAAGGCCTTTGTCTGCAGTGGTCCCTGCTCCCCTGGGAGAGGCAGCCGGCGACTGCG